GCAACACATGTGCACACAAATTTCGAACGTAAACAGAGATTCATATAAGTTATAACTACTTAAACGATTACAAAATGTGTTAATTTAGAATCGGACATTACACTAACCACATGTTTACTATTAGGCTGATCGTTGAAAGAAGCTGTTAAAGTACTTTAAAAATAAAATCATGCACAAAGAAGTCTTTCATAGATCTGATGGAAAACTGGGCACGATCAGTTCTCAAAGACTTTTGAAACCGGGATAATATTCTTTACATATTGTCACTGAATAGGTGTTTCGTGATCTGCAGTCCGATAAACGATGCAGGTTAACATTTCAACATTTTTTTTCCTGGATAATTTCAAAGCTGTTTTGTTACTTGATGACTTTGCCGCTTTTTATAAAATGCATGAATCAAGCCGAACCGAAAGGGCGTTCTACCTTGAGTATTATTATCTAGCAAGAAATAGTACTGTTTAACGTATTTTGGGATGTGAAGCCTTTTTAATTCCCACGCCTACTAGTGTGGAAGTACGTAATCGCGAAAAATTTCAAAAATGAGATAAGTGTTTTGAATGCTATATGAGATGTACATCACGAAAAACCCTGTCACTCATTTCTGATCTGTCCGCCAAACACGAAAAAGAACAAAAATCGCTCAAACTTCGTTTTTTGACATTTCAGATCCTGATCATTTCCAAAAAAAATGTTAGAGAAAAACTTGTGGGTGCTGAATGCGGGGCTTATCTCAATTTTTTTGATGTTAGTACATTTATACGTTCCCAACCTTGATAATTCTATGCAGCTATTACTCATATTTCACACATCATCGACTTCTCTGTACATTAGCCCTGAACTTGAAAATATTCTCAGCAGACTGATCGCGTTCCTACCGGCCGCGGTTGCTGCTCCCGACGACGTCATTTTACTTCTTTTTTACAGTCAATTTTCTAGTTTCATGTTTCTCATATCAAAGAACTTTCTCTTCATAAAGCATGAAGTGTTTTATACACTTAGGTGCAAAATAATTAATTGAATAAATGTATATTGATAAAACGTTGGAACTAAGAAACAAAAGAGGTGGGCGCACTCAAAATGCATTGGCTTTTATTGTACCCAGACAGATTTCATAATTCCGCTTATAAGGTATTAAGTGTGAGTTACCCCTAGGGAACTTTCATATGCAATTTTTTTTTAATATAGGTTCTAAAGTGCTTGAGATATTTGATTTAAAAAAATTAGGACGTTCTAGTCATATATATTATAGATTATAGAAAAATTAATAAAAAAAAGAATGTTATCTTTCATTGTTACTCACAATATATTGATTGATGAATTTCAATATGGTTTTATAACGAACAGTAGCACACTTAGTGCGGTTGTTGATTTTGTGGACTACATTTCAATGGCTCTAGATAAACAACAAGTAGTTGTAGCTGTTTTCATTGACCTAAAAAAAGCTTTTGACGTAGTAAGCATAGACATTCTTTTAGATAAACTGTTTAAAATGGGATTTAGAGGTGTTTCGTACAGATTGATTAAGTCTTATTTATATGACAGAAAACAGTACATAAAGCTTGGAGACATTGATAGTGAATGGTTATCTAGCACCTATGGAGTACCACAGGGGTCAGTTCTTGGACCTCTGTTATACAGTCTTTATGTACTGAATCTCAAGTTGGCCAATCTGAGGGAAAGATATTTTACCTTTGCAGATGACACTGTACTGGTATATACTGGAACAGACGAAATTGCTTTAACGAATCTTATTAATGATGACCTGAATAGTTATCTTAAATGGCTGTTTTCGAATAGATTAAAAATTAACATTGAAAAAACAAAATACATTATCTTTAAACAAAACAATAAGATAGTTAGCAATAATCTAAATATTAACATAAATAATATAGCGCTAGAAAAAGTATCAAGTATTAAATATTTGGGATTACTAATAGATGAAAGTTTAAATTGGTCACTTCACTTAAATGGAATTTGTGATAAAATAGTTTCAATGCTATCTGCTGACTACGATCCGGACGAGAGGCCTCGCAACCGCAGAACCAGGTACCCTAGACCAAGGTCCCAGTTGGCACCCGCTAACTGGAACCTTGTCTAGGAGACTAGGAGAACCCGCGGTTGCTCCCCCCCCCACGGCGTGGATGCAGAGGACCAGGAACCACCGGGACCAGGACCCACCGGGACCAGGACCCACCAGGGCCAGGACCAGGACCAACAAGGACCAGGACCCGCCACGACCAGGACCCACCAGGACCAGGACCCTTCAGGACCAGGACCCTTCAGGACCAGGACCAGGAACAATATATAGGTAAGAGGACTTGAAAATTTTTCGAAAACAAGAACCAACCCGGCGTTCCCAGAGACTGAAACACATGAGGAGACGTTGTATCAGACTGCAGGTCACGCACAACACATAGCCTACCGAGACGCTGATGAGTCGGGCCACCCGGAGGTTAGGGTTTAGTGGGTATTAGGTGGTCTCCTCAAGACAACCTGGAGTCCCACACACGCCGTAGCTCGGGCTATGGTATGGTGCATAAATGCATTCCCCCCTCACCAAAAAAAAAAAAAAATGGGGTATGTGCGGTGAAATTAATTTTAATAAAGCTCGAGTTTTACAAAATAAAATTCTGAAAATATTGTTTAATTTTGATTGGCTTACAAGTTCTAATTCACTTTATTCAAATTTAAATTTAAACAAATTAAGAGTGTTATTGGAGGTGGAACAATGTAAACTTGTTTATAAACTTATAAATAATCTACTAAAAAGTAACATAAATATTAGGTTCAACCATAACGTGCATGATCACCAAACAAGATCACTAAATAATGTTTATCAAATTTCCACAAGAACTAATATAGGTTTAAAAAATCCGATCACAGACGCAATTAAGAAATTTAATAATTTACCTCATTGTATAAAAGATTCAAATAACTATAGAAGTTTTGTTAGAGAATTGAAAGATTTTAAAAATGTTAATGAATTTATTTGTTGAAATTTTGAGCAACATTGCAGTGTATGTACCTGTAGTTCATTGATATTGATTATTGTCTTGTTATTCTCGGGGCCAGTGTTTGCAAACACTGATTGGGGAATTATTGAATGGTTATACATTTTGTATTATTGTGTTTAAATAAATTATTTAAAAAAAATATACGTAAAAAGGAATTTAGCTATATTTCACTATTATGCTCACTTCTTTACATAACAGACTCTATACTACTGACGTGACAAAAATAATAAGTACGAGTATTACAGGCAAATTGATCAGTTTGAACACGTTGGAGTACTTATGCTTTTTTTAGTTGAAATAAGGTTTGGATTTTTAAAAGACGAATAATGAAGTTAAAAAATGTTTTGCCGGTTTTCGGTCTCATCTTCATTTTCAACTTCGACATGACATATTTCCAAAAATACAGTAGCCATATCTCTTATAACTTCTTAGCACATCGCTCCCCAAATTTCATTAAATTCGGACATACCGTCAACATGAATTTTCTTTATTCAGACATATCAAGGCATTTATCTCAAATTCAATAATGAGCACGGATACTACAATACTTTTCTTGTGCTGCTAATGAAACATGAGACCCTTGATAGTACTTGTTTATGAACTGAGGCAGAAACTAAATGACACAGCGAGCGATATTGAGCACTTTAATTGTTAATTTTAAGAAAGTTGATTTTAAATAATATAACTTGTTTCATTTACCCGTCATTTTAAAAGTATGCCTGCCAACATTGATAAATTTAGACCAAGATCTATTTATTTTACACTTTGCCGGTGGAATAGCAGGTACTCTATTCAATCGCTAGGTAAAGTATGTAATGAATAATAATATTCATAATATTTCATACATTGCCTGGGCAACCCAGGTATTCTATACATTACCTAGGTTTTGTATAGACTACCTGAATTGTACAGATTACCGGACAAAGGCAACCCAAGTCGTCTGGGATAATGAGACTAATGTTTCGGTAATTTCCGTTGATCTATTGTTATGTTTAAGAATCAAATATTACTTCCACTTTCTCGATTCATCTACTAACTGCTTTCACCAGTTATGCAGCCAGTCAGTCAGCATTCATTTCGTGATTTGAAACTTCGCTCATTAGAATGAAGCATAAGCAAACGTCAGCCAATCGCATGACGCTATCTAATCTTCGCATCTCGTTACATCAATCTTCGATCTGCGGCACAGCGCTCGTTACTTCACGTTTTGTACATTTGGTGTCGGACCGAACGATTTTGCTCCAAGGTGGTCCGATCACTGCCATGAGAAAATATGCAAGCAGCAGTTTAATGCCCATTGACATTTTGTTATTGAAGGATTAAAAATGACGCCGGGGACACCGAGTCATTCGGTAATTCCCACGCAATGCTAAGAGTATATTAAATTTTCTAGTTTTTAAGGAAAATAAAATAGAATGGTAATAATACAATTATAGCTTTCGTCCGTCCGGCCGCAGACGGCCAACATGGACAGCTGTTTCGTGCAATTTGGCAACTCAACGGTATGGTCCATGTTTAGTCTCGGTTGACAACCAACGAAAGCTGAGCAACACTATTTAGAATAGGAGTTCCCAACCAGGGGGTCGCGCCTCCCAAGGGGGGCATAGAGAGATGCCAAGGGGGGCGGAAGGTGTTTGCATTCTAGGAATAAAAAAAAGACAAAATAAACAAAAAACATTAACTAATAACATTTCAATGTAATGTTTAATTTACACGCATAAAATTAGAAATTAAATATCATATTCACTTATTCTGTCAACCCGGCGTCGTCAATCGCAGCTTATAGAAGTTTCGACAAAGTCACAACATGGAATCCGCGCGCACTCCTGCCGCGTTCTGCTTAACATTCATCACTTAGAAAACAACTACGTACCTACCAGACGCGGATGAGCATCTGTGACATTCATTCCCACAAACTTGCGAAAAATTTGACGTTTCGATGTGCATGTTTTGTTGAGAAATCTGTTTGAGTGTGTCAAATTATTGTGTCTCACTGTTAAAAGGTAAGTTTGTGTATTTACAAACTTCTATTACCATTTTTATTTAATTTAATAAATTGTTGATTCGAGTGGAGACGGGTTCAGAAATCGGCCATTGGGACTTTATTACCACATCACAATCAAACCAACGTGGCGAAATAATTTTGAAACGACGAACTTTAAGTACCTAATATTGATTCCAAATGTATTTAAAATTAGTATTATAACGTCAACCTGCCTACAAAAATATAAATCTCCCGGTGGCCAATATCCTGTTGAATACATTACGTTATCAAGGTAAAATAATGGGCATATAATTAGTAATTACATGTATGTATTTTGCTTATTTATTTATTAGTTATTTGTTTTATTGTTACAGGTGCAAAATGGCAGCGAAAAAAAGGAAGTTTTTCGAAGATTACATTAAGTTTGGATTTACCTTCATAGAAAAAGACGATTTACAATGCCTCAGTGTGTGATATGGATGAAAGTTTTAAGTAATGATAGCATGAGGCCCAATCGTCTTGAAAGACATTTGAAGCAACAACATCCTACTCTGGTTTTGAAGACGAAAGTGTTTTTTTCTTCTAAAGCAGAATCACTCAAACGGATGAGACTGGATAAATCGGGTGTATCGCAGCATATCAAAGCTTCATTTGAAATAGCTTTTATGATAGCACAGCAAAAGAAACCTCATACTATCGGTGAAAAATTAATAAAACCACGTGTCCTAAAAGCCACGCAGATAATTACAGGAGAAGATGCATAGCAAAAAATGAAGTCTATTTCTCTTTCAAATAATACAGTCAAGCGTAAAATCGATGACATTGCAGCAGACATAAAGTCACAAATAATTAACAAACTAAAATTGTCGCCATTTTTTGCCATTAGTTGCGATGAATCCACCGAGAACGTTAATTGTGCACAGTTAATTGTTTATGTTCGTTACATCGGCGGAGATATCATTCAAGAAGAGATTTTATACTCCCAATCTTTGATAGCAGGTACTACATCTAAATGTATATTAGTTCAATATCAAATATTGAAAAAAATGATTTGGATTGGAAGAAACTCATTGGACTTTGCACAGATGGCGCACCTGCAATGATAGGTGTACGATCGGGCTTAGTTAAAAAGCTCAAGGAAAAAAATCTCGTAATGGTTGTAACACATTGTGTTATTCATCGGCAAGCTTTGGCTTCCAAAACATTGCAACAGAAATTACACCAGACTGATTCGTCAATGAAAGATGACTTCCATCTTTTAACATTGGAGAAATTTTGGATCAAAAGATTGCCTCTTAATTCGACACTTGCCTCTCTTGCTTTAGGAATACTAGTTTCCTCTATCTAGCTTTAATTAAAACTAAACAGCGAAATCGTCTTGATGTCGATAGCGACCTGATGATAGCTCTGGCAAAGACAGAACCTAGAATCAACCAACTGGTACAGAATATGCAATCTCAAGTGTCTCATTAGTACCTACTATTTTATTCAAGTTTTCCGATAAAAAACATCTATTAGTTTATTTAAACTTGTATAGTTTCTTTATTAGAATTGAATTAAAGCTCTTTGCACCTATATAATGTGCGTTTTTTTGTATTTATTGAAAAATTAAAGGGGGGCATGAAAATATACTTTATAGTCCGGAGGGCCTCAACATAAAAAAAGGTTGAGAAACCCTGATTTAGAAAGTATAAGACTTATTGAAATAAGACATCGCAAGGTTCCATTTATCATTAGAACCGTCCGCTAGAACGGCTGTCCATTGTTGATGGTCGGACGAACAAAAGCTATATTACTTGTTTGTTCAATGGCTATAGCACCAGAATCGCCGGCATCTAGCGGCCACAGTGGTGTCCCGGCTGACAGTACAAACTGCTTGCCATTTTCACTTTCGCACTGGTCGATTCTGTTAATAGATAGCACTTGTGCTGTCTTATTTCGATACAATAACAATGTTCAAATTTTTTACTAGATCATTAATTCCTCAAGTCGATCCAAGGAGCCATTTCTGCAATTTCAATTTAAGAGGACACCCGCACAAAACATATACAAAATGGGTCCGTGTCGATTTGTCTAAAAATTAAGTATGAAATATTTCTCGTTTTCCTGAAGAAAATAGTTCTAATGGGACCAAACCAATCCAATAATCAGTTTCTTGCAAATAGGAGGATGAAGTTATGTGATTTGTAAAAATGGCGAATGTGCGCATACAATCTATTTTCAAAGACATTCAAATGCAGCATGTACCGAATCTAGCAGATCTTTAAAAAATAGCAGGTGAACTTAAGGGCGCAAGAGCCAAACGTTAGTCTAGCGTTAGATGAAGTAAAAGGTATCCACAAAAGGAATTTGATCACGTTTTAGAAACGTAATACGATATCGACTAAGGAAATCTTATAGACAAGTTTATGAAAACAAGGGAGACTTACCTGATGATTTTGCGATAATAAATGGGCATTATTGCAGATGTAAATCTGGCGCTCAAACCCTAGGCACACATGATTTTTTTTCATAGCCTCTCCACGAGATTGGAGTTCGTTATTTTCACATAAAGTTGATGTAAACTCTTTGATATGCCGGCAACCAAAACAAAAAACTGAAATTAATATTCAAGATATACCCTGAACTCTGTTCACATTTAAATTAAAATTCAAGATATACTCTGAAACTCTGTTCACATTAGTGCGCTATTCCTTTCTCTCCAAAATCAACATGACCTTGAAATGACTTTGTAAAGGTCATAATCAGAGGCGACTAAACAACCAAGACTTTGCCGCGCTCTTGTGTAGCGAATTTTTCTAAATTCTCGAGCAGCTCGAACCAGATCCATTTCAATTTCATCGTATAAAAATAATACTGCCTTTAAATTGACCTTGTAAGAAGCCTAACCAAGATCAACATGACACTTCCCAAAACTCCTTCCTAAAAAGTTTTTAAATGAAACACCTTCTTCGGTATAACAACTCACCGAGTTTTTGGACTGGGAACCACATTTGGCACATTCGCCAGTATTGCAAATCTTGCAAACTTCATCCTATTTTCCAGAAACTAATTATAGGATTGCTTTGGACCTATCAGAACTTTTGTTCAGGAAAGCGAGAAATATACCATACTCAATTTTCAGACAAATCGACCGGGACCCATTTTCTATATGTTTTGTGCAGGGTCCTTCCTAAAAATAAGCTCAAGTAGAATAATAGTTCAATAATTCAATGAAAATGCACATCGTTTTATTGGTTAAAATTGAAGTCGTAACTGTATTCCACTTATTTTCAACAACGCATGGGTTCTTCTTTGTTACAATAATTTTTAGATGCGAGATAGATATCTGCATTGATTTCCACGATATTTAAAATTTGTTCCTCCTGCTCTACAGTAACCTGCCTTTCACGAGTGCGAATATTAATGGGCTGAACACTTCCTGTATCTCGAAGTCTTTGGTACACTTGCACAAATGTCCTTCTCTCTGGGTGTACTCGTTGGCGGAATCTGTCGCGATAAATTTGAGCTACAAGATTTGAATTCTGACGAGCTTCACCGTAAACTAACAACATGTCGGCGAACTCTTGATTCGAGAACATTGTAAACAAACACGACGACGTACGCGAACAAAAACAAAACACACCCGATGCCCGATAACTAACCACTGTTACCGTTTGCGATCGATTGCCGGTTCTATAAGAGTGATGACCAAGCGCTGTTGTCATGTGTGTTTTAAATATTTAATTTAATGAAACTTACTTACTTACGGACTACACATTTTAGCTTAACTTAAAAAAACGTAATGCCATTTATTTGTTAATTACCCAATTTAAAAACGTTTTAGATTAGATTATAAAAATTAGTAAGATAGTGGTGATTGTGGTCGATATAAAGCACTTAAAGTTGTAAACTATAAAGCCATTTAGACAAAAATCTATTTTGGACCATGGGTCATATGAACTTTTTGACTTGTTTTGACCCTCCTATTACCCATTTCAATAATGACTACCATGACGTTTACACCCTGTATACTCGTAGAACTTGAATTAATTATTGTAAAGTACGGAGGCGTTATGAAGGATAGTCCAGGGATCAGGAGGGAAGCAGAATTCCTTAATGAGATGCTAGTGTTCCAGGATATGGTGCTTGAACAATTTTATGAAGAAATGCTTTATATTTTGAGTAATAATTCTTAAAATTAATTTTTGTTTCTCGAAATTTCTCTAACAAAATAAATTTAACATTTTTTCCCCAACACTTTCTAGGGTTAAGAGGGATGCCTCGGCGATATTCGGATTATCCAGATGCTTTGGTTTCACTTTCTCCTCCCTTTTATTGTTTCTGCTTTAGTGATTATACACTTACTTTTTCTACACCACTGCATCATAAATTTAAGCACATTATAAGAGAATGTAAAATGGCATATTTTAGTGGCAAAAATGAAAAAATTCGATTTCAGAGATAAAAATTCAACGTGCTGTAACTAAAAATGTAAGCCATTGCGGACATAACTTCGTATGAGAATTTATTCATAAAATTATTCGAGGAATCACATCCTGGAGTATACGCACATCATTGTATGGGTTGACCATCCGTCAATATCCTGTTCTATAACTTCTATTAGCATTGATTAATGTATATATTTACCTGAAGATAGCCAAACTAAAACTATATTGGCGTACACTGAGAAAAAGATACTATTTGTAAGCCAATTAGAAATTTTAATTGACCCAGTTAAAAGTTGAATTAAGCTCCGATTTCTAAAACAGTTTACTTGGATCTATATAACTAGTTTGATTCAATCAAAACGCACTCATTGAATTATATTTATTAAACCGTTTATTTATATTGAGTACACCAAATTATATAAAATCAATGAACTCTTAAAATGAGTTAATCTGCTCCAAGTAAAACAATTTGATTATACAGTGTGAGTCTTCATAAAGTGCACATAGCAAAATCAAGGAACCTACACCTTATTTTATTGACGGAAAAATTATCAAAAAAAAATTAAAAACAATTATTGATTTTTAATGAATATTGAAATTTTTTGAGTCAGCTGCTAACCCTATTTAAATAAATCGTTACAACTTTTAAACTGAATGTCCTATCATATTGGAATAAATTTTGTAGTGATTGCAAATAAGAGGCCGTACCAGTAAAGTGAAAATGTCCACGAAATTAAATGCTATAAATTTAAAATAAAGAGGAATATGCTGAAACTCACTATTTTTTCAATGATTTTTAAAACAATTGCTAAATTTCAATAAAAACTGTCCTATTTACCCTACCTTTTTTAAATGTTAAGTTATTCTACATGTTATTAGCTTCCTAATGGTGAAAAATTGCAAGTTTATTACTTAGATACAAGTTTTTAAATCAGCGTTTCAAAAAGCAGTGAACTCAGTTCAACGCCAGAGTAGGAATAAAACAACAGTATTAACCTACATGAATCATTCATTATCTTTAACAAATAAAATCAAATAGACTTGTCTATAGGATAATCATTTTGGCTTAATGCATCAAAAGTTCAAAATGGCCACCCCGTTGCTGCAAACACATTCACTATCATCTCGGGATCATTTTTGATTTCGTTTGCAACACGCAAAACTCTTTCTTCAAGTTCCGCTTGGTTTATGGAACTGCTGTACACCCTTTGTTTCATTGTTCTCCATAAAAAATAGTCGAGAGGTGTGAGATCTGGGGAACGCGCCGGCCACCCAACAGGTCCTTGTCGACCGATCCAGCGGCCTGGATAATTTTCATTAAGAAAAGACCTGACAATCAGCGCGTAATGCGCAGGACATCCATCCATTTGAAGCATCATTCTTCGACGGGTTTGCAGCGGCACTTCTTCCAACAGCAAGGGCAGTTCAGTCCGCAAAAGCTCCAGAAATCTCTCTCCGTTTAAT